GTCTGGTCTGGTCAATGTCTGTATTATTTTATGTTTTGATCTCTTAGTCTGGTCTGGTCTAGATCGTGGTTTACCGAACCAAACCATGGACCCAACCGACTTGTCAATACGTGTTAACAACCCATTTGACCACTCTCCCAACTCCCACAACGCCATCCAAGTGTCAAAATTTTGTGAATCTCGTCTCTCCTTCATTCACAACCATATTTAACCAGAGAGTAGAGATAATCGTGTCTTAATATGACACTATGTTAATGTTTTATGACGTTATGGTGCAAGTTGGGATGCTTTTACTTTAAATCTTTGTTATGTACTAAGAATTAGGGTATCAAAATTATTCATGCATTTTTTTTGTGTGGTTGACTAAACAAATTGTTCATTTTTCATTGATTGTGATCTATCTGGACCAGACCGAATCAAACTGCACAGGCGTGATTTGGACCGGACCGTATAGTCTGTGGTCTGGTCTGTGGTCTATACTTCAGCCTCTCGGTCTGGACCATAGACCGTATATATGGTCAGGTCTGGACCAGACCGCACCATTTCCAAGCCCTAGTCTTGGGAATAACTTTACCTTTACTTTTCACAAATCCATGTACATTCCGAAATTATGGAAAATTTACGTTCGTTTGAAGTTTCGGCCTAGATTAGGCTTTGATCGAATTTTTTTTTGTTAAAACCGCGGGGAGGCAGACAGTTTTCACCTTAACCGCCGGTATCCCCCCCCCCCCCCCCACCCCTCCGCGATTTATTGGAACGAAGGAAAATCGCGGGAGTGGGGTGGCAGTTTTCGTCTTACCGCAGGGTGGGTGGCGATTTATGAGAAATTATGGTATTTTTGAAATTTTCGAAAACATGTGAAATTTTTGGAAATTTTTTTTTGTTTGGTATTTCTGAAAATTTTCCAGATGTGAAACTCGACTGCTCAACTACTTGTCTATCTACTCTATATATAATACGCTGAAGGGGAAAAGTGAATCCCCATTTCAAATTTGCTGCCTCCGGAGCGTTTCTCGGAGGGGTATTTTCGGACACGGGAAAAATACTTCCATTCTTATTGCGACGTTGAACGGGCCTGGCGAATTTTTTTTCTGTCAGTCCGATCAGCGCTCGCTCCGTTCATTGTCATCACCGGTTTGTTAAACTAAACCCACAACCGTCACTCCCGCAGCGGTTGTCCTTCCTTCCTCACAATAATAGGATCTCGCCATCTCGACTTCTCTCTCCCACATCTCCAGTTGGATCCATTTATTTGGTGTTGTTCTCCCTCTCAACTCGAGAACTTCGCTATATCCATCTTCCTTCCGTTCGATCAGTAACCTGCTAGAGCAACAGCCAATCCGTCAGCTCCGGCCTGTATGTTTCTATTCGACTGGTTCTATGGAATTCTGGCATCTCATGGGTTCTTCCATCTTCCTTCCTTCACATGTTGAAAGACGAGGTTTGCTTCTTTCTTCCCTTTGATTTCAGGTTTTTATTTTCTAGGTCCAATTGATTCAAAGGAATCTAGATTTAATATATGGTGGGCTTTTGGCGGGGGATCTGTTTGTTTATCGCTTGGTGCGTATCGCAGAGACTATCAGAAACCATCAGCTGTTCTTTGATGGTTTGTTCTATCTCTTCCTTCCTCACAATGTTGTGTTTGTTTCCTTTTTAGGCCGAGATAACACCGACGAGGTGCAGAAGTCGGATTCCAGCAAAAAGCAATTAAGACTAGGTGATTGAGTGTGAATGAAAATCTTAAAGTGCTGATTGTTTTGGGGTTTCATAAGTAGATAGTATGAGGATGAGGTTGGTGGAAGACGAGTTCGTTGAATCCAGTCTGAGGTTGATATGCTGCGATCCAAATCTCTGGTGGGCATGCACAGAAAATTGCCTATTAAGAAATTTGGTGTTCCAGTTACACGACCAGCCTCTGACTTTTGTTGATTCTTCTCTCTCTGGTCAATTATTTCTTTCATGTTTCTTTGTTGGGTTTGTTCCCTTTTCTCCAATCAAAAGGGTCTGCTTTGTCTCTTTTCCAGGGAAATAACTTCAATGGCAATGGCGGTACTAGGCAACAGAGTACCTTGAAAAGTGCTCAAGGACAATTATGGGGCACTAGAGCTTGCCCTGGAAATCAAGACGAGTTCGAACCAGAAAATGTTGCCAGCTGCAGGTTCTATTTGCTCTATAGACTATATACTCAATGATCCTTACAGAAATATTGATGATGGTTTGTTCAACTTGGATTCTCTCTTCTTTGGATGCCTCTTTTTTTTATATAAGATGATCTCATTATAATAATTGGATAGTGAATGAGATACAAAAGCAACAACACAAGGCAAAACATACCTCTTTATTTGCTTTGTTAAAATTCTTAGTCTTGCTGTGAATCTCATTGATGCATTCCTTACTGTCTATTCGTTTGTGGGGAAGAAACTCTAGCTGATTGGAGTTTATGTTATGTTGAACCGACCTGTAACCTTAAGTAGTAGATATATGTTATGTTTCATTTCTCACCTCACAATTTTTCAGTCAATTTAAATACTACATAATGAATGCAGGTTCTTTCCTCAGAATTTCGTTCCGGGTTCTTCCATCAGAAGTCCTTCAATACATCCCTCTTTACTACTTTTCTCTTTGAGGTAATAGTTGTTTCTGTAACTCTATTATGATGCCTTTGACAGCCCACAGTAGAACATCAATGCCTCCTTTTATGTTCTCCACTCACTATTTAGATTGAACTGAGTTTTCTCTAGAAAAGCAGTGTTAATATTTGTGTACATTAGACCTTTTTATTAAACATGATGAACTGTGTTTCATTTTTCTCGAGGGTTACTCTGCTACGATTGTTGGTTTTGGACTGGTGATTTTTGGCTGAGAATATCAGAGTAGGAATTTTCTTAATGGCATACATACACTTGATTTGAAACTCTGATTTGAGAATCAATGGAAACAATGTAAGCAATTTTTATTCTCTTAAAAATTTTGGTTGTCCTAAATTATGAATTAAACTCTTATGCTCTGCCTTCACATGAAGTTTTGGTTTTTTAACAGTTCCTTTGAACTCCTCTTAGTTTTGGGACTGATTTTGCCTTTTTTGTAACAATTTATGGTTAGTTACTCTAGCTTTTATGCTTTCTTACAGAGTTTTGTAGTTGTACTGCTTTTTTCTTCTTCATGGAATTAATGCTAAGCTGTAATTGTACAAAGGAGTTAGTTACCCTATAGCTTGCTGAACTGTTTCATTTGCTGTAATTGTTGTTGGGGATTTAGGGTGTCATTTGTTGTAATTGATCTTCTCCATTTGTAAGCTGTGATTTTACAATAAAGGGTTAATTACCATGTACCTAAACGTTTGGTTCATACTGGACATATGCAGGTCACTCTTGAAGTCCCCCTTTATTCTTCAATAAGGGGCTGGTAGGATAGATCAGGCTCTTATTATTATGGTTACAATGATTCCTTACTGCAGTTTTGATTAATGTGATTCAAGTTTCATAAAAAAAAAAAGATTCAGGTTTTTGTCGAGTTGTTGTAATCATTGATTTTCCTTTGTTTACCTTGAATCTAATTTGATTGGATATATGTTTTTCGTTGAACTTTCAGATATTTCCAGTTATTGAACTCTATTAAGTTACTGAAGCGAGTGGAAGTTATATGTTTCTGTTGCCCGTGTTTTGTAGAAGGTTGTTCAATTACAAATTGCTTGGTTCCTTAAACTGGATAACACTAATTCATTTGACAATGGAAAATTATGTGAATTTATAAAAATTTGGACCATTACTATAACTACCAGCTAATCTTTCTATTTTAGTACAAGGAAAATTGGAACATATAGTTTTACTTGAGTTACGAGCTTTTTAGGAGTGGACACCGTTGATGTTAGTTTCAATGGTCATTTAAAAGAATTTCATAAATTCCTAACCCGTGATTGTATTGGTGATAAAAAGAGTGATGGAGGTTTGTCTATATGCGTTGTATGGGTGCCAAATTTTAGCCATAGCCCAATGAGATCAAATCTTCTTTTGGTGGAGCTAAAATCATCAATCTAGCTCCAAATTTGGCATTTTAGCTCTTAGTATTAGAGAAGGTAAAAGAAGTTCAAGTCAAATTATCTTTTTCATTGAAACTCCTCGAATTCAAGGTATGCAATGGTCAATGGCCAAACTCACTTCCTGAAACGAGACAATTTCAATTTATGAGAAGATAAAAATGAGATCATTCATTAGAATTAATTACTATTACAATCAATTCCATTAGCTCAAGGCGATAGAAGGAACTCTCAACTTCAAAAGAAAAGCAACAAATACTTTAATAATAAGAACAATCCGGCCAACGGGCCGAGTAAAAGCTAGCAACGATTGTGAGATGCTCATTTCCTGGAAACCGACGGGATAGGCGATTTTTTATTCGATTTTCTGGAATTCGGTTCCTATAAAACTTACTCCACCTCATCATATTACCATAAACAATATTATTTCACAAGGTAACAGGTACTTGATTTTGGTTCATAAAGCCGATTTTTGATTCATTGCATCATTCATGTCTCTTTCCTGCTAAAATTCACTATTTTTATCACGTGTTTCCAAAAAAAACTATACAACAATAAGCTATACGCCCCATTACATTATCAAATTTCATACCTCACCTTCCTCCGGCCAACTGGCCGGGGCCACACTAGTATGTGTAGTGATAATGAAGCAACATCTTCAGAGAAGGCTAATGTAAAGGCTTTGGTAGAGATGAAGCTCGACTGCTCAAACCAATTGACTGATGCACTAACTCCAACATAATATGAACAGGGGAGTACTATCCAACCCAAACAAGTGTTAAAAACTTAAAATGAAAGCTACCTCAATCTGGATCGGGTCGTTTCTCCTTAGTACTTAGTAATAGCCCAGGCCTTGTCACTGAAAACCCACTACAGATTGGCCCACGGGCATCTGGCTTTAAAGCCCAATCGTCTTTATCCTTGTCTGATGTCTCCACCGCACTTGAGGTGTTTCCTGTTGAACAAGCAAGCCGAATTGTTATAAAATAAGAATTCAGAAAGGAAAATCAAACCAAACGGAAGAAAAATAAGGTCAATACTCAGCAACACCACCACCAGCACTCAAAATCGAAGCCGAAATCAGTCTCCGAAGAAATTAATCGGAGCTAAAGGAATCGTCGGCGGCGATGGACGTGATAAAGACCCAGCAAATCTCGGCGAGGCCGATCGAGAAGGTCGTCGTTCACCCGCTGGTTCTGCTCAGCATCGTCGACAACTACAACAGAGTTGCCAAGGACACTCGTAAACGCGTCGTCGGAGTCTTGCTCGGGAGTGCTTCTAAAGGAATCGTCGACGTCAGCAACAGCTACGCTGGTCAGTAATGTTCTTCCGCTGGCGCCGCTCACTGTTTCTCTGCTCTTTTCTCTTCGTCGTAGTATTGGTTCCCTTGTTTCTAGATCTGTTTCTAGCTTCCTTAGGTGCTTGTGTTCGTAGGATTCGAATTTGCATTAGCTTAGTTTCGTTCCTAAGAGCATTGAGCTGTAAAGGATCTTTTGCTCATCTGCTTAGTCGAATTTTGCTGAGAATCTAGGGATTATAGGTTGTACCTCTGTAACATTTTGGTACTGGGTAGCTATTCACAATTAGGGTTGTGGGGGAATGTGAGTAGAGGCACAAGGTTAGATATCGGCAATACCGATTAAGGGATGGTTAGGATAACTATGTGATGCGTAGGAAACTATAATTATTAAGCTCAAAGAAACGATTTTGATGCAAATAAGTCCGATATGGGGACTGGATCAGGTAAAATATGTTTTGTTCTTCGTTTGAACTTCAACTGTCTCCTGCTCGCTTCATTAGCCCGTGTTTCTGGAGGTTTTATGCCATTCTGATCGTTTGTACAAATATTTGAATTGTGACTTTTCAGTGCCATTTGAGGAAGATGAGAAGGATCCCAGCATCTGGTTTTTAGACCACAACTACCATGAATCGATGTTTTCCATGTTCAAGAGAATTAATGGTATCAGCTATTGCAATGTTGATTACTCTTTGTTGTTTTTTGGAGGGAACACAGTATTGAGAAACTCTTTTGTTACTTTTTCAGCAAAGGAGCATGTTGTTGGGTGGTATAGTACAGGTCCAAAATTGAAAGAAAATGATCTTGACATTCATGGCTTGTTCTCTGAGTAAGACTGCCAACTCCGACTTCCTAGTTTTTTTGCGTTGAAGTGTACATGTGCTACATTTTGTTTGTGTAAAGCAAGAATACATAGTGCTGAGTTTGTTGCAGTTTCTTCAGATCGAATCGTAGTTGTAGGTTTAACTCGAAGATTCCTCTTTGCTAAGAGGAATTTTTTCTTAGTATTCTCATTGTCATTTCTGTGATCTTGCAGCTACGTTCCAAATCCTGTCCTAGTCATAATTGATGTCCAGCCAGTAGAGCTTGGTATTCCCACCAAGGCTTACTATGCTGTGGAAGAAGTTAAAGAGGTAAGGGCAAAGTGCTAGATTAACTGATTAAGACTATGATTTGTCGGTTGCTCTTTTTTCTCCCCGGCTTTGAACTGTTTGTATGCTGCTATAAGGAATGAGTCGAAGATTGAGATGCTTAGCCAATGTTTGTTACTAATTGCAGAATGCGACACAGAAAAGTCAGAAGGTATTTGTGCATGTGCAATCCGAAATTGCAGCTCATGAGGTTGAGGAAATTGGTATGGCATTTCCAATCCAGAGTTTTATAATTCCTAGTCGAATCACTTTTACAGATTGCTTTGTGCTTGCAAACGTGGAACTTTTCTGTTGATACTGAACTTCCTTATCTTTTTTCTTTTTCTTTTGCCCTCTCCATCATAGGTGTGGAACACCTGCTTCGGGATGTCAAGGACACAACTATAAGCACTCTTGCAACCGAGGTAACTTATCTGGACAAAGCTCATATGTTTTTGTTTCTTTGAAATTTTCTGCTGAGCGGTGAGCACTTATCTCGATTGGCGTGTTCCACACAGGTCACCGGCAAACTTACTGCCTTGAAAGGGTTAGATGCAAGGCTCAAAGAAATAAGAGGTTATCTTGACCTTGTTATTGATGGGAAGCTTCCTTTGAATCATGAGATTCTGTACCATTTGCAGGTTTCACTCCTCTTTAGATCCTTCTTATTTATGCTAGTTATCTGGATGCGCATGAATGATAGTCTTATACTTCCATTATTATAATTGGCGGCTCATCTTAATTTGCTGGAGTTACTGAAGCTTGAATCTTAGGGAGGGATTTGTATTGCTTGTTTTCCATGTTTTAACTGATAATCTGACTTGTCTAGCTGAAACTTCTCTCCGTGAAATATTCACTGAGAATTGAATTCCTCTGATAGTGACTGATTTTTGTTGCATCTTTCCTGAATAGTTCCTTTCATGTGGAGGTTATAATGTGATTTCCCTGTCCTTGTATTCTTAGCTTGGTGTTAGTGTTGGTCGATATAATTTCGTGTGAAGCCATATGAATTCACCTCCCTTTTACTGATTATGTTTTTCTTGTCTTCCTATCAAAGGACGTATTCAACCTACTTCCAAACCTCAACGTTTCTGAGTTGATCAAGGCTTTTGCTGGTAAGATACGAACATAGCTCGGTTATGAAGTAAAGTTTCTGCTCTCTGTTCAGTGTTCACACTCTCGCAATTATGTTGGCAGTGAAAGCAAACGACATGATGTTGGTAATCTACCTCTCGTCCGTCATTCGAAGCGTCATAGCACTCCACAACTTGATCAATAACAAGGTCAGAATATTTAGATTATATGCTCTTACTACCCGCTGTTATAGTTGCGGTAATATCATTATTAGTCACTACAACTTAAAACACCTAACCCACGCATGTTATTGAATATCCAGTTGCTCAACAAAGAACATGAGAAAGCTGAAGACTCAAAACCAGTGACCGTACCAACTGCCACCGGAAGCTAGATACAGACGATCAAGTTTGCTGTTGAATTTCGACGTAATATTTGATCTTCATCCATTGTCTTTGTGATCGCCGGAGTAGAACATTGAACGTTTCGAAGCTTTTTGCGATGGTTGGATGATGGATTGCGTATGTCCATCAAGGGAGGGTCCTCAGAATTGATCAATCCACCACCGACTTTATGTCCCTGAGTTTCCTTTTTAAACAATTGTAGTAGGGTGTTTTGGCTTCTATTAACCATTTTAACGATCAAACTTACCGTTGGCAGAAAAAGATTATCAGGCTGAACCAAAACGGACTCTTAACCTCTTCCTACTACATGGTAGTACATTAGATTAGTACATTCAATCATCAATCAGTAGCGCTATCCGAATCTGGCTGAACCGACTGCTCGAATTCAGCATCCATGGTACTCCATCCATCACATGAACAACGATCTCCTATTCTCCTTCCTCCTGATATCCACTCTCTGAGCTGGAATCCAGTTCACGACCAGTGCTCCATCCGAATCCTTGGACACAAACAGTGTCAATCCGGACAATGAATCATACTTAAACCTCCTCTCCAGGAGCAAGTATTGTCGAATGTAGAGCTCGAGGTACTGCCGAGAACCCCCAGAATTCGACAAACCACAGCGTACGAATCATTCCTTGTCGAGTTGGTATCACCATCTGCAGCTTGTAGCCCGATGTCACGCTCGAATGCCCTTGCTGAAGGCATGAACACCGTGAAAGGAAGGTCTTCCGGCAGCATCCCCACCATCATCTCGCCGAACCTGCCGTGCTTCTCGTCGCTGGGAAACACTTCCTTCAGGTTGGTGAAGGTCTTGTGCCGACCCATCGTTACTAGCTTTCATGTGAGTTTAACAAGCTAACAATGAGGCCCATGGGGCTTAGGGCCTTTCGAGCCGAAGTTCTTGGTCCAGCCCAAATGGCGGATTGCAGCCTATTTTCTTTTGCGTGGGGACTGCAACATTGTCTTGGTAACTCCAGCCTCCAGGATTGCATTCTGAACAGGGTGTTGTTTCTCAGTGCAACAACAAATCAACAATCCATGAGCCTAGCACAGAAGCTCTCATAAAGAAAAGAGTTTGTAAGACTTTCAAATACCGATCTATTATTATGAAGATAGTTGGATGAACTAGTAATTTTTGCATGATTGTATCAAGACTACATTAAGACTACATTATCTGGGTAATTTTATCTTAAAAAATATTAATTTTACACGCTAAATTTTAAAACATATTAAGTTTAGTTTTTTTTTATTTATTTCTGAGTGATATCAATGAAATAAAATAGTTAAACTTACAATTCTACCAAGGATCCCTAACAGATTCTAAAGAAGCCACCCCAATAAATCAAAAGATTCTTGCTCTACACGAGACAAAAGCAGTGCTTTACGCGCCACTCTATGGGCAGCACTGTTGGCGGATCTAGGTACCTCCCTAAACTCTATACAAACAGACAAAGAGCTAAAGATCTGAAGACACTCTCGTAACACCGGACCACCGATCGAGTCTTCAATGACGCCTTGACGGACTTGGTTGACCACCACTTTGGAATCACCTTTGACTATTACGTGGGTCAAGGATCTTGTGGCTACGATGGAGATGACGTCTCTAAAAGGTAGAAGCTCTGCCAGATAAGGATTGACTATTCCTTGATGATGCAGCCCAAACGCCAAGTGGTGGCACAAACAGTTGCGTCGACGTTGATCTTCAAAAAGTCTTCTGGTGGAGGGACCCAAGTGGTGGCAGGATGATTTGGGATTAGAGATCTGCGGGGAGGAGGAGGAGGAAGAAGATAGGAGAATTCGAGGACCTGGATGTAGAACTGTCTGGCTAGGGAACGGACATGGGGTTGGATAAATTCGAATGTCACTTTATTTCTAGACTTCCAGATTCTCCAAAGTAAACAGACGCATTGGAGAATGTGGAATGGGGAGGTCTCGAAGACCATGACACGTCGCCACCATAGACTAAAGTTAACAATCTGGGCGGTCTCAATAAAGTTGCTCAATCCCACTAAAGTCCACAATCTGGTGGCTAGGGTGCATCTGAAGAATAAATGTTCAATGCTTTCTCGATGTCTCCAGCAGACAGGGCATCGGTTGAGACATTTGACTCCACGAGATTGAAGGGCCACTACTGTGGGAAGTATGACTTTGAGGCATTGCCATATGAAAAATTTGAGCTTAGGCGGGACTTGGATATTCCAAGTCTTTTTCCAAATAGGAGGGTCAATGATATGCACTATCGGTTTTCAGCTTAATGCCAATGTTATTTCCAGAGCTAAGTGATAGTCCGATTTGACTGTGTATTTCCCATCCTTGGGATAGTGCCACACTCTAATGTCTTGTTGTGGGTAGCGAGGAAGAGGAATTCTCCTGATGAGATCAACCGATTAAGGTTCAAAGAAATTCTGGAGTTTTGATACGTCCCATTCCCCTTGGCCTTCTTTTATGAAATAAGATACCATAGGTGATCCATATTGAATATGGGGTCGTGTACTGGGAATTAAGGGTTTATCCCCTGGAACCCAGTTATCTATGAAATAAGATACCATAGGTGATCCATTTTGATACGTCCTCTTCAAAACTTAGGTTAGAAGTATGTAATTAAGATAATCTCCATTAAACCAATTTGGAAGACCAAAAATCCACCCCACTTCAAAAGCCCATTTATATGTAAAAGATCAAAATTGTGTGTGTCCCATTGGTTAGTCAAACCCATTAACTGCCAATAAAGCACACATTGAAGGCCTATAATTACCATAAACGGAACCTGCCATTGTCGAGCAAAGCTCTATCCCCATTAGAGCCATTGTAGGGCACCTAATACCATCAAATAAATTAGATGCCGGTATCTTCCAATCAAAAGGTCAACAAAGAAAATAATTGAGCTCACCCACATGAGTAGGGAATTATTCCCCTAATAACATCAAATAAATGATTATTTAAAAGCTCAAAAAGAAGCTTAAGTAAGTCCGAAACGGACGAATACCTCCAATAAATGGAGTTTTAATTCTTAGCGGAGGGGCATCGAATGCACGATCGGTCGAGCAAAGCCAGTCGCCGGGCAACTCTCTGTTGCGCAACAACGACTCGAGCCTCTGCAGCTTCAGCTCATGCTTGAACCGGTTAATGAAGTCGTCCGCCTTGGAGTCAACCCCATGGTCATGATCTCTGATCGACAGTTCCTTCTGCAGTCTCACCGTCGCCGGCCGACGTCATTCCTGATTAGATTCCAGTGCGTGCGCGGTGGGAGTGGTGTAAAGAGATGACGATGTCGATGATGATCCGTCGTCATTGGTGAAGAGATAGATGGTAGTAGTCCTTTAATGTGAGCTTTGACAGTGTTTTGGTTTGGATTTCCCCTTACATTTCGCCTATCTTTATGGCTGATGCAGAGACCACGTATTGCTCTGTTTTTTGGAGCTTTAAATAGCTCTAACTCGTCATAAATTAGACAATTTGAAAGCCCAATTAAGGCTTTTCCGGCAAATACCGTTTTAGAGTTTATTACTCGGTAACCGTTAAACGGTAAGGTTGCATTATTTATGATAATTAATGTCTTGATTGTGGTTTGGAGTTGGCGGCGGTCATCGGAGATGAAGGGTGGATTCCGGCGACCTGGCGGTGATGTGGTGGAGTTGTTTGCATTATATTAAGTTTAGTTATTATAATGTAATTTCAGTATGAAACACAATTAATGGGACCGGAGGAGAAGGAGCTGTTACAACTTCTAATTAATAGTGACTATAATACAATTATAATTAGTGTCGATATTAACACCAAAGGGTGTTAGCACTCTAGCTATCTTGTCCCTGTTTTGTTAGTTTCATGCAGTTTCGAGTGAAATTAACCTTTTTTGGAAGATTAATGTACTATCTCACTTTTTTCTGAAAATATATTTTCTGCTTTAGATATGGACTCGAACAGTTTTGGTTTTTTGTGCATTATGGTGATTTTCAAGAGGTCATCATCCATCTATACACTGCTCCACATTAAGTACGTACTCCCTCATTTCATCGAAAATACATATTTTCAATTAAATTTGGATTGTTTGTAATGATTCATATATGCTCCACTAATTTGTTCATGCATGATTTATAATTTATATAATGTGTTACCGTTAATTAGTAGCATGACCGTACAAAAGCCTCAAAAATTGTTATTTAACCTCTAATTTTGTCCTTGATTTTAGCTGCAGTCGACAACAAGTACATGCTTCCGACTAGCATTTCCAGTCGGTTATCACTTCCGAAGAAAACATATATATAAGCTAGCAGTCCAGTCCCCTGCACCACTGAGCAAAGAGCAAAAGAACAAACAAAAAGTTGTATCATCCCACTTTGTTGGGTTGATTTCATCTGGTCCAACAAGGTTACTTTCTTCCCTCTTTGTTCTTTTTCTTGTTCCGTTTTATTTGATTTGTTCATTGTTCCAAAATCCACTCTTTACAGATATGAGCCAGATCTCGTGTCCTTATCAGAATCTAGATACCTCATTGTCGACACTGCTCCCCTTCGCGAGGAGTGGATGAACAATGACGCGTGCTAACTAAATTGTGTTATTATGGTGCTTGTTGCTGATACTGGATAGTAATTTTAAAATAATGTCCGTGTTGGAAGCTCGCGATAATTTAATTATAGAAACACGTGTTGAATATTTTTGTATCAGCACAATAAATTTATGGATTTTCGTAGTAAATTGTTACCACAAATTTATTAACGAGGTGAATAGCTCAAAACACGTTTTTTGCCATCATATGGTGGTGGTGTAATAAATTTAGGCATAGGTTGATTCCAAAAAATCATTTGATGTGTATTTTAAAAGCTCTCTACTTTTGAACGATTTCATGACTATTTATCTTCATAAATTTCAACTCGAATAGGATGATATATATAGTATCAGTAAGGATAAAAATGTATTTCCTCACTTTTTATTTAATTTTTTTGCCAAAAACTCTCTACTTTTGAACGATTTCATGACTATTTATCTTCATAAATTTCAAACTGGAATAGGATGATATATATAGTATCAGTAAGGATATAAATGTATTTTCTCACTTTTTTAAAAAAAAATTGCCACACCGATGACCACTTTGTTGAAATACTCGTCCAAGTTAGAGGAATTCATGTTTGGCTACAAAATTATTATGTGCTTTTTATTCCGCCGGACCCTAATCAACAGACAACAAGATTGATGAAATTACAGGAGATTGATGAAATTAGAGGATTTCAAGGATATAGTATATGAACAATGATGGGACACGTTAATAGTAATCACCGTGGTTACTAAGGGCAAACTGGGTATAACAAAAAATTTATTAATGATCTTTTTTAATAAATTACATTTTAGGAAATTACATAAATATATTAAATACAATTTTTCTCTCTCTCTTTCTCTCACTTCCACAATTTTTCAGCCAGATCTCTCTTCCTTCTTTTTCTCAATCTTTCCTTGATTTCGTTCATCCAAACTAATACCGCTGCAACAACAAAACAATAAATCAACACCAATCCATTAAAAAAATACTACCATTGTACAAAACATCAATACCATTCGAGAAATAAAAACACTACCATTTCACAAAACATCAATACCATTGCAGATTTAATCACTACCAATGCGACAAAATCAATACCAATGTAACAAAATCAATACCAATGCGACAAAATCAATACCAATGCGACAAAAATGACTACCATTTAAAAAAAATCACTACGAAAAAAATGACTATCATTAAAAAAAACAATCCGTTGAGCTTTCCTGGAGTAGGCCATTCAGCTCCATTATTATTTCCCAGAGGCCAAGCAGCAGCAGTGGCTTCTCCGTTGCTGGTTCCTTCTCAGGTCTCCCGGAGTTTGTCCATACCACATGGTGGTCAGAGAGTTGTAGCATTGGATCCCCTACGGGGAGCGACTCAAAAAGCCGAGACAGTTGAAGAAGATTTTTTCTCCCCGTCTCTGACGCCGATCTCTCTTTTGAATGGTCAACCAGTGGCTACCGGAGAAAGAGGCGCGGAAGGAGTCGTCGGACAAGCAGCCAACGACGGATGAAGAAGCGGAGCTGGCGACGAAGGAAGGTGGCGGCGTCGATCTCCTCTCTAAACTCAGGTCGCCGTCGAGGAAGAAGCTGGCGGACAGGGAGGCGAGAGAGGGCGGCGGCCCTCAGCCTCTCGCAAACCCTAAGCCATCGTCGGGGAGGGTGAGAGATTGCGGCTACGGCGGGTTTGACTGTAGAAGTAGGGTTAGGGGAAAATATATAGAATAATCAAGTGTGGTTTTTTTTTTCTCTTCCAAAATTATCCTAAGGCAATCTTAACCGTAAGATTAAAAAAAAAGAGAAGAAAATAAATGGTGGATACTGATGTAGCCACGGTGGCTACTAGAAATCTAGTTACCACCCTAACGCATTCCGAACAATGATTACCATCATAATATAGTGGAATTCAAGATTTCCAACTGTCTGGAGGATATATAGTGGCCACTGAATTTATACATAAATTTATAGGCTTAAGCACCTGAACCCAAGCCCATAATCTTGTAGTACTATATGTTTCAATCGTTTTCCATTAATAGCATATGCCCATATTCCCCAAACTTTTGAGTTATCCATAAATGGAATTTTTTTAATTCTTTTTCACTTGGCTTAATGGGATTTGTAGAATCAACCAATTAAGGTGGGGAATATGATTATGTCTCCGTCAGGTGTACTCTAGTGAGTAATCATTCATTTTTTGGAATTTCACAACAATGCAATGATTATTTCTGGTTGAAAGAAGGAAGGACAAACTAGCTAGCTAGAGCCATTTAATTAGTCTAGGATTTCGATTCTTTTGGCCCTTTCATGGACTATAAAATGAAAGGCCAATGCTATAGTGCTGCTGCTAAAATTGTGGCACCTGTGAGTATGTGACGCTATTTTTAATTGGTCCACATAGATTGTGTTGTGGCATGAGCCGAGTCCATTAAATGCCAATCCAACCTCGATGGCTTGTTAGAAGTGGTCCAAACCCTCTGATCATTGGCGACGAGGTAGGGGTTGTTTATAATGGAAAAGGAGAGGCGCACAACCTTAGATCATTGGCGACGGTGATGCATCGATTGACTTCGGCTTTGTTGATGGTATAATTAAGTCCCCGAATGATGGAGTTTAGATTGGTGATTGTGGAGTTCGCCATAGCAGTTCACTTTTCTAGAATCAGACGAGTGAGAGATAGAGGCAGACATTTTTTGTTCAATTTTTTTCACGGGTTAAATGTTAAACAATTTTAAAATTGACTAATGGAAAAAGAAAATAAATCAAGCGGCCTTGGGAAGACAGACTGCATTGTTAGTTTGAAGTTGGGTTTTGCTACTTCTAATGGCCCCCCGAGTTTGGACAGATTTAATCAAATTAAACCAGCATCACATCAGTTCCACGTGGTCCAAATTTATTCTGCTTCACCGGTGCAGTACTTTTTATAGCGGCACCATAATATTGGCTGAATTTCCCCTTATTCAGTCCAAATTTCCCCGTTTCCACGTTCCCGGTTCAAAGCTACATGTCGTGGGTTTCACATAACAAAACACGAGTCGACGAGCTCCTCCAATTGGAGAAGAACAAGAGGAAGTACTACCTACTGCTCGATCGTAGTGAACAATTTTGCCAAGGAAACATATAACGACTACCAAGTGTTGAGAAATGTGAATAGTTTGTAAAAACTAAAGGAAAGTCCTTGGAAAAGGTAAGTGAAGTTAATTCGGATTAATTCTACGTATTGAAGGAAACGTTTCTTCAATCAGAATTAATTGACCGAATTAACGGAAAGTTCAATCAATTGGATTGATTTTCCATATTGAAGAAATCTTTCATGATCAGATCAATTGTCCATACTAACCAGCGGCGGATCCAGGAAATAGTAGAGCACTAGGCCGGGTTTCATTAAAAAATTAGATACCATAAAAGAAAAATAACTCTAATTTTTCTATAATGTCAATTTTACACGACTGTATTTTAATATAGCAAATTCATCAATAATATAGAGTCTACATCCATACCAATAGTATATACTCTCTTTCAAATGAAATAGTTAAGCAATCACCGAGAAATTCATCGCTCATTTTGTTGGGCAAATAAGTTTTCACATGTTTCATTGTTGAAAAGGTTCTCTCCGTAGTAGTTGCTGAAACGAACAACGTCAACACTGTACAAATCAATT